TACTGTAAGAGAAAAGATGAAGATTGTAGAGCAAGATAACGATTGAAAGATGACTTAAAAGATTGCAAATTATATGAATCAGGTAAGTAAGATGAAGGAAGCGAATTCCAAAGAACTGATGTTCGAGGGGAAAAACTAGACGAATAAGTGTTTTTGGAGCACTTAGGAACAGTAACAGAAAAAGGATGACACTTATTTGAATGACGAGTAACACGAGAATGAATTTTAGTAAATGGCACAAGAGACGCTAGCTCTTTAGAGCAGTGCCCATTATAGTATTTGTAGAAAAGAGAAAGAGAAGCAACATTACAATGATGTGATAAAGGTTGTAGGTTGGCTGCAAGAGCAGCTCCAACTATGTTTACAATGCTTTTTTGCACCTTGTCTAAAAGAGAAAGGGCATCATTAGAAGATCCGCCCCAGATATGGCGACAGTATTCCATACAAGGACGGATATGAGATATATAGAGATAGAGAATAGAATCCAGAGTTATAAAGTGCCGAGCTCAATAAAGAGATGCAACTTTAGCAGATGCTAATTTTGCAACAGATTCAATATAAGGTTTCCAAGAAAGATCAGTAGTAAGAGTTAATCCTAGAAGATGAAGGGTAGATGACTCGTCGAGTACATTACCGTTCATAAATATAGGAAGGTCTAAATTATTGTGATAATGATTGGCTGAAAAAAATTGAGTTTTATCTGAATTAAAGTTCACCAGTCACTGTGAGCCCCATGCTGTAGCAGAATTGAGATCCTTTTCAAGTTCAAATGCCCCCTGCAAGCAATCAGAGGGAGTTGGCTTCTTATCATAACAAGAATAAATGGTAGTATCGTCAGCGAACAATGCCACCTTAGATGTGAGAATATCTGGAAGATCGTTAGTGTAAATTAAATAAAGTATAGGGCCAAGGATTGAACCTTGAGGAACCCCTGAGGTAACAGAATAAGAAGAAGTGTGCTGTCCATCAAGGACAACTTTAATACTACGATTGGAAAGAAAAGATTCAATAATCTTAAAGATATTTCCAGAAACACCGTAAAAAGAAAGTTTATAGAAAAGACCAGCATGCCAAACTTTATCAAACGCTTTAGAAATATCAAGAGCAATGGCCTTGACCTCTCCACCTTTATCTAATGCGCGATAAAACCTATCAGTTATTACTGTTAGCAAATCAGCCATATAAGGAGAAAATCAAAATCCATATTGATGATCAGAAAGTTATTAGATTCAAGATGAGAGATTAAATGTTTGTTAATTAAAGATTCAAAAAGTTTGCTTATGATAGGAAGAAGATTAATGGGACAGTAGTTAAACAAATCAGATCGCTCTCCAGAATTTTTAAAAATAGGGATAACAGATGTTGCTTTCCAGCAGGCTGGAAAACAAGACTCTAATAAACACTTATTGAATAGTTTTGAAAGACGACAGCTCTGGAGAACACTTCTGCAAGACTATAACAGGTATGTTGTTCGGGCTGCAAGCTGTAGAAGAGTCTAAGCAGGAAATTACTTTAGATACAGTAGCTGGAGTGATACGGATATTTAGCAATGGATCAACCTGTTTGACGGCTATTTCAGGTAGATCCCAACTAGTGGAATCAAGAGATGATATCGATGAAAAGTTCTTAGCAAACAATTCAGCTTTGTCTTTAGGTGAGGTGACAAACTCTGAACCATACAAAAGAGGTTGAATTACAGACTTGCCCTTATTATTGATGCTATTAAAGATTCGCCAGAAGTCAAGAGAGCCTAATTTTTGAGATGAAATACAAGATTTCATGATCTGAGAATAGCGGGCTTTGGCGTTGGATAAAACTTTTTTACAATGGTTCCTAGCAGTAATAAACAGACGCCTGTTTTCTGGAGAATTGTTTTGCTGATAGATATGGAAGTAATGGTTTTGATTGCAGCACAATGTAAGGAAAACCTATATAAAATATATATATATACATATATATATATATATATATATATATATATATATATATATATATATATATATATATATATATATACATATATATATATATATATATATATATATATATATATATATATATATATATATATATATATATATATATATATATATATATATATATATATATATATATATATATATATATATATATATATATATATATAAAATATATTTACCAGAAATATAAATGCTTTGCATAAGCATGTTATTAATTACAAAAAATATGTACAGTCTACATTATGGATGGTTTACTTTCATATAACCAGGATAAATCTAGGAAAGCAACCTTGAACTAAACAAAAAAAGTTATTAATTCACACATAGAAGCTTGCTATCAGTCAACATTCATATTTACATCTTATATATAGTAATAAATCTTTAATTAACAATTGTTTTTTCTTCAAGATACAATTTTCCATTTTTCTTGATGTAACAAGAAGTATTTTAATTTAGTTTTGAGAACATATTTTTTAATACTGTAAAAAGCGATTGTTTTTAATTTATTATGAAGTTGATTCCATTAATGCTGAGTACTAGAATGTTTACTGAAGGATTTTGTATTACATGTTTGCACACTCAGTGCAACTCTACAAGAATTTCTTGTAAGTTTGTTCTGAAGGAGAAAGTTTGAGCCATTTAACATTATCGTTTAAGCTATGAAAGAGCAACTAAGATCATTTCCCTATATATGACAAAAGCTCCGAATTCTCTTGAAAAGTTAAATAACAAGAGTACCTAGCAAGAGTGCCGCAGTGAAACCCGATATTTTCACCAGAACTCCTAAATCTTTGTATAACTGAATATCATTACCTGGTGCATCAGAACCTTTTGTTGTTTCTAGCCTAGCTTTAATATACAAAACTGAGCTGAAAATCAAAAAGAAAATTTAATTTTCTTTATTAGAGTCAAGTAAATTTTTTTTAAAGATAAACATCTTTAGTACATACAACAAGTGGGACATTCATCTTGCATTATGATTTGCTTCACAAGTTTTCTATTTTTTTTGGTTCTTGTCCACCCAAGAGAAAAAGAGCTATTTCCGCTTCCTTATAATCATCTCATTGATAAGTACATTTTACTTGTTTCTCTAAGAACACAAGTTTCTTCTCTTTTCATTTTAAGAAAAGTATTTTCAAGATCTAGAGACCTATTGAAATTTTTGAATGCCTCCCCCCCCCTCCTTCTCTAAACAAATTTATTTTATTTTACTTTTTGAAAATCTCTAAAATATTAACATCAGCTTTTGTATCTTTTTTAAACAACGAGTTTCAAAATATTCCCAGGATCAATTCAAAAGTATGATGGCGACAAGCCTGTCAAAGTAGAGTTTTTATTAATGTGCATTCTTCTAGAAGTGTTGCAGCTCCACTCTTTATTCCTGTGTTACAAGCAGTCATGTCAAAACCCTTGTTTTGAGATCCCATTGCTCTAAGTCTTCTAAGACTCCCTTGCAGATAGCAAATCCTGTACTGGACTGTATAGGTATTATTGACAAAATTTTGTCTTCGACAATTAGGAAAACCGCTCACTAAAACAGTTAAATACTCAAACTTTTAACCAGAGATTCAAAAGTTTTCAAATCAAAATCTCAGTGAAATATTAATCTAAGTTTATTTTTTTATTTCGGTTTTTCTTTGTCATTATTTGTCTATTTAGCTTTCTCGATCTTCTTATGGTATTTATTGAAATGTTAACATCCTCAGGTTTAACACTGTCTGCATAAAATAAAAATAAAAATTTAATGAATGGTCAATAATAATTTCTTTTTAATAATAAAAAAACAATCTAGAACTAGAATTGCAGAAGTATTTACCATTAGCTGAGGATTTGATAACTTAGTTCTGTCTGCGGTTTCTGTAATCATTGGGTGAGAAATAAAGTTCTTTGATAAAACTAGAGTGATGGTATCTGATCCAGTATCAATTTTTTCTTCTAGATGCTTTTTCGAAATATGTAATTAAGAAACACTAAATTTAAATAAGAAATCAAGGTATGTAAATAAGAATAAATAAATTGTAATTAAAATATTGTGTTATGTAAATGAGAATACATAGTTTTTAATTGCTAATACATAGTTTTTAATAGTTTTAAACCAAAAATATTGACTGGGAATCAAAACAAAAATATTATTATAATTTATCAAAACAACAATGTTTGGACAATTTAATATTAGTGTCAGCACAAAAAAGAAGCATTTTTAAATGCAGAACACAAAAAATGATTCTTTGATAAGGGACTCCTCAGCTGAATCAATGCTATAACCAACTAACTGAATAGTTTCTTTATCATTCAATTTTCTTTTCTTTATCAATCTTGCTTTTTTTCTCCTAAAATAGGAATCTAATACATAATATTTTGCTCCGATTCTTCTAGTTTTTATTACATTTTTAAAAGCTGTAAACCAGGCAATATCTTAATCTGCATCTTAAGCTTGTCTGGTTTTTCTAATGTCATCTTTCCAACTGGGAGAAACAATATCGAAAATTCCATCTAATGTTTGAGTAAAGCTATGTTCACGTAAATACCTCTCATTGAAAAGTTTACTTTTAGATTTAACAAGTAACTTCCATTTCTCATGTAGCTTTAAAATATTTTTAATTATATACTTGTCTTGCTTATAGTGAATAACAGTTTTATTCCAGAGAGGCTTAACGGAGTTGATAGTAAGTGTTGCAGCATATTTTTTCAGCTTTTGCATATATCTTTTTTGATATATATATATATATATATATATATATATATATATATATATATATATATATATATATATATATATATATATATATATATATATATATATATATATATATATATATATATATATATATATATATATATATATATATATATATAAAGAGAGAGAGAGAAATTATAAATCCTTTGAAAAATGTTCAAAATTATGTTTAAAAAAATTGTAAAATTTGCAATGATTTAAATATTTTGTTTAAAAAAATTAAATTTAATCAGTAAAAATGGAAAAGTTAATAATGAATTTTGCTTCTTATTGTTGTTATGCAGGTTGAACTTTAAGCAGAGTGATAAAACAAGAAGTGAAGCTTGGATCCATCATTCTCTAAATGAAGGAAGCATGGGAAGTTATTTTAGTTTGTTAATTGAAGAGGAATCAGGTATTTTAAAGTATGTTATGCATTTTAATATATTTCTTATTTATATATATTATAAAGAACTCATGAAAATTTCATTATTACAATTTCCAATTTTTTTTTAATTTTTCACTTAAATTGACATCTAGTTGAATAAATTTACCATATTTTTAATATAAGAAAATAAGTTCTCATACTGAAGCAATGTCTACCTATTATTCTAAAATTGGTTGTCTAATTTGTATGACATCACATCTAAGACTTCTAAGATTTCAACATCTAACACATCAACTTTTAAAACATCATGATATAGTTAAACTTTAAAATATATTAATTTTGATTTCAGGAAATTTTATAAATCTTCTGCATTTGTGCGAGATAAACCTAAAATGGAGTCTGCTCAAAACTTACTTAATTTTGCTATTTCTTCGATTCAATTCATCATGTGAGTTATTTTTTAATTTAATAATTTTTTTAATAGTATTATTTATAGATTTATTAATATTATTATATTAATTAGCATAAATATGTTATGTTTAATTTGTCATAATTTTCTGCATTGAAAATTATGACAAATTGTCATTTCTTTTTAAATATTTAAACAAATATTTGAAGTACAATATTATTTAAACTAATTCTTTTTGTTGGTTATTTTCCAAATTAAGCCTTCAGCCTTTAACTTCCAACTAATGAAGAACATCAGCAACAAAAAATGAATGAAAAATATGAAAAAAATCAACATATATACTTATCCCTTATTCATTGAGTGAAGAGTATTTCAAAGTAATAATGTTTGGAAAAGTTGTTGTAAGATCTAATATTAAGCTTTCCTACTCAAAACCCACGAAATGAAATACAATGTAGAAGCAAGAATGTTAGATGGCAAACTTTCAAACTTTTTTTTAGAGTGTGATGGATGATGTGAAATTTGAGTAAGCACCAAACATATATAATGTCAAATCCAGAATTTTAGCAAATCTAGCTTATCTATGCTTCTTTGTGTAGTTTTTCATGGTCTTGTTTCCAGAGATTTCAATTTTTTGAACATAATATATTTTTATTGCAATTTTTCCTTTTGCTTTGTTAGAATGTTCTGTCTTTTTTTGAAATTTTTTTTTTCAAAGAATGTCATTTGTAGTTTGATATTTTGACATCATATTGTAGCGCTGGTCAAAACTAAAAATCTATAAAACTACTTCTTTGAAATCAAAAAGTTTTGATGTAAAAGTATGAAAGAAAAACCATTTTGACCATTTCTTGCTGAAACTGAAGTAAAGATGAATAATTAAAATAATTAAAATGATTAATATATGTATAATTAAAATTATAGAACTTAAAAACTAAAACATTGTAACTGAAAAATTCAAGAATGTACTTCACTCTGTTTTTTTTTTTTTTTAGAAACATTGAAAAAATTTTGTGCAAAGATGATTTGTTGGCTTTAGATACATCTTTTGATGGTTTGTTAAGTTTTTTAATATTTGCTTAAAATGGTTTTAATTTATAAAATTTTTGACACATAATTAGGATAGAATATCTGGCCAGATATCTGGGGCAGATTTGTATGTTATCTGGTATCGGCCCGATAATAAAATAATCCATATGGTTATGCTGAATAACTCATGTTAATAAACTTGTTTTAACTGCAGTCTTAATGATACACAGTTTAGACTTGATCAAATCATATGGTAATTAACAGAATGAGAGAACCTAGAACACAAATTCTAAAGTGTTAAGCTTTTAAAATAATCTAATGTTAGTAGATTCAAAAAAAATTTAAGCTATATAAATTTATTATAAAAAGATATACAATATGTATTAGAAATTGTAAAAATGGTTGCAATAAAAAAATTCAAATTAATAATAACATTTAAAACGAAAAAAACAAACAAAAAAAAAGAAAAAAAAAACAAACAAAAAAAACAAAATGTTAATAACAAAAGAAATAGTAATTACAAAGTTAATTACAAGAAAATTATTACTAAATTTACTTAAATTAACTTTTTACACAGACATAGACATTTTTTTTTTAGTTTTATACCAAAAAAGATTTTTTTTTACTTTTATAGCCAAAAATGCTGAATCTTCTTTAATTTCTATTTTTTAGGTATTGTACGCATATCTTGTAATTTGGAAAAATAAATATATGTAATAGTTATTCTACCAAAATTTTCATTAAAGTTTGTATTAATATTTTGTTGATATATTTTTATCAATTTGATACATAATAGTTTTGTATATATATTTTATTTTTTTCATTGTAATAAATATATCTTTATTTGCTATACCTTAAGAAGAAAAAAATAGATAAGTGTAATTCAAATATATAAGAATTAACTGTGCATAAGAACTACAGATTTTATTATTCTTTAACCAATTTATTTTCATTATTATTATTATTATTTTTTATTTATTTATTTACCTCTCCAAGGTTGAGAAAAGCCACTACAGTCGAGGAGGCTACTTTTGTGGTTACAACACTTCCTAAAACTCCGAGACATGAACCTTGACAAACAAGGACTGCGCAGAGAAACAGTTATGTATAAGCAATAGCATTTCTCTGTGTTGAGGTCTTAATTGCTTTTTCTCATAAATTTTTAAATTTAATATTTAAAATTATATTTTCATATTCAGAAAATAATCTCTGAAAATGCAGAAGATGCTGGTGGTGCTAATAATTTAAGGACCAGTTCTATTAGCAGTATATGATAACCAACCATTTAGTATTACTAATACTAATTGGTTAATTAATCATAGCTATTTTTTTATGTATTTGCTTTGAATTTTCATTATTAATATCCCATATCTTTTTGATGAAAACTTTAGGTTTTGTAATAAAAATATCTGTCCGTAAGTACAAATATCTGAAAAAATAACTAGCCTGATAATTTTTATTTATCTGGTATCTGGCAGATATTTTATAATGTGGACATCCCTACAGATAAGATTTTATTAATTTTAATTATAACATTTTACTCTATCATTTGGGTTATTGTTTGAAAAATTGTTTCAATTATGAAATGCTATATTTTGTTTTAAGTTTATTTTATATGGATGGCTGTTTTTAAAACTTTTTTTTTTACCTTCTATGAAGCAAACTTGACCAATTGCTTCACAGAAGGTACTACTTAGGAAAGCGATGGTCCTTATTTTTGTTTGTACATCTGTCATCAATCTTGTGTAATTTTGAATCATATAATTCATATTGTTTTTATTGTATATATATATTTTGATGAAATAAAAAATATTTTTATAAAAACTGAAGGTATTATTTTATATATTATACTATTATATACAGGCCATGCGATTAACAAAGAATGTATAATAAATGAGATTTTTAACATTAAGTGGATTGTCTTTTTTTTTTTTGAGCTGTCACAATTTATTAAATTACTGCAACACTAATTTAATTAAATAACTCAAAACAATCTAATTATTATGTTAAAATATCAATTGTAGATTGTCCTATTTGATGAATGAATGTTTTATTATTTTATGAAATGTTTCAATTTTTGCAGTTCAGTTGCTTAACTTAAACTTAAAAACATCAAAATAAATTTTACTTTTTTTTTTTTGTAAAATGGGTGAGCCAAAATACATTTTTGGGGAAAATTTTGGTTCACCTATATTATACAAAAACCTCTTCCAAATTTTTCAAAAATACTAATTTTTAAATGAATATAAATTGACATTAAAAAAAGTTAAAATTGAAAAAAAAATTTGAAAAAATTTTACTTTATTTCTTTTGAACTTTTTTCATTGTAAGCAATTTTTTTTATCAACAATTTTATTTAATATCATTAATTTTTCATTTATAAGATATGTGTAAGATTTCATATAATAGTTTTATAGAAAAATGTTTTAAAAGACTAAGAAAGCATATACATCACAATTATTAGAAATTAGGTTTTATATTTTTTATTTTCTAGTTACAAGAACAAAACAAGATCAAATTCGTCGTAAACCTCGTGGACATGCACCGACTATTATTACATTTACAGAACCAGATTCATTTACAGGACCAGATTCACATTCTGATTCAAATATTGATGCTAATCATAAAGAAAACAATATAGATGATAAACAACATTCTACTTTTTATTATGAGACAATATGTTTGGATGAAAAGTTAACTAACATGACTTTTGAAACAAAATCAAACGGCATAGTAACTGATAACACTAGTAATTCATTTGATTTGCTAATTAATGAAGCACATGACAACAGTTCTCAAGCTATATCAGAAAAACTCAATCAAACTACTAAAAAATTGAATGAAAAAAGTAATGATGTAGATTATTGTACCGATCAAAATTCCAAAATCACCAAAAAGGATGAAATATCTGTTCTTGCTTTATCAAATAAAAAATCAGGTGAAACCATTATATCTGAGCTTACGCCATATCAGGTAAACCAGTGTATTGTACCTACATCTACTTTGATACCATCTGAAGGATCCGCTTTCTGTCCAGTAACCAAACTGAAAAAATCAAGTCTTGATATAAATGATTTTAGTTTACCAAGTGAAGGGTTTTGCACTGAAACATGCATTGAAAATAGCTTACTAAGCAACTTTTTAAAACAAGAAGATGTATTAGATTCAGAAATAGGTTTTGAAAATTCTAATAGTAGTATAAATATAGACAATACTGTAACAACAATCCATTCTTCTCATATAAGAGCAAATAGTTTAGAATGTAATAAGCCATCTCTTGAAAATTATTATGTTCCAGGAATTCATATAAATGAAAATGATATTGGAAGTCCTAATGAAATCAAGTCAGAAAAGTTATCAGAGGTGCCATCAATTGAAACAAAGTCAGAAAAATTATCTCGGGTATCATCTTGTTCTTCAATTGAACCATCATCTAAAAAAACTTCAGAAAACTTTGTATCTAGGTATGCTAAAGCAATATCAAAATCAATTGAACAAAAAAGTTTATTCACTGATTCAGAAAGTGATACATGCAGTTGGAGTGATAAAAGTTTTAGCATACTTGCTGAGCTTGGTATCATTGATAGTTTTATTGGATTAAAAGAAGACTACTTCACTCCCCCAGAGGTAAAGCCACATATTCTAAGTTGAATATTTATCAAGTTGTAATTTATTTGATTAAATCATTTGTGTAAACATTGTTATTTATAAATAAATATGCCTATACACAAAGTAAATATTTGTATTTAAAATGCCAGTGTTGACTTGGTCACCAAAAGTTCTATTCAGAATCGGTTGATAATTTTCATTTTTAATACATCAAAAAATGCCACTATTAAAAAAAAAAAAATTAATAATTATAATAAAGTATTATTTCAGAAATAAAATCAATAATGTAATCACAAGATTATATAATTATTTGTTTTAAAAAATTTGCAATTAGAAGTTATCGAACTGGTAGATGATTATATAAATCAACTTGTTTGATAGTTTGAGTGTTACAAGAGTTAAGTCTAGTTGTATATTTATGGCTCGATTTAAAAAAAAATATATTCTTTAAAATTTTTTGATGTTATTCCAGTTTTGTTATCAAAGATCTTCCTATTTTTTAGTTGTGTTTTTGATATCCTGTAGTATTGTTTTTATTATTCAATCAACACACTAAAACAGTTTTTTAATTGGTTTTTTTTCTCATTCACTTTCACATTTTCTCACAAATCAGTAATATAATGCAAATGTTGCAAATCATATTACTATAGATATGTATATGATGCAAATGTATCATATTACTATAGATTAAAATAAATGCTAAATTGTAATAAATTATATAAGTTATAATAAAATACAAAATTTCTGATGAAGCTATGTAGCTACTAATTTTTGAACATCATTGGTTCACATTTTATTTATGTTTGCACAAATCTAAAGATATTTTATATATTATATTATTATATACATGCCATGCGATGAATAAAAAATGTATAATATATTGGGTTTGACATAAAGTTCTTTTTATTTGCTTTTTATATTTATTGTCATCATCTTTTTTGAACTTCAACAATTTATAAATAATTAAAATATTATAATTATTATAATTTATTAAATTAATGCAAAACTAGTGTAATTGAAAAAACTCAAAACAACCTAGTTGTTATGTAAAAATAGTATTAATCATGTTTTGTAAGGAGATAAATAAAAATATGCTAATATTTAATTTTGTTTTATTTCTTAAATATGTATTTATGGTTTTGAAAATAACAGTTATTTTGTAATTTTAGTCAGAATGAAATAAAAGTTTTAAATATTGCAAGAATAAAAATCTTTTTTCTAAACGATTTTATGTAAAAGCTACTAAAAGTTTTTACAAAATTGGTTTATATGCAACTTCACTTACTTCAGCATGCTCATAATATTCTGTCAAATAATAAAAGAAATCATTCCCTTTTCAATGTGAAATGCATAATGCATCTGTAATTGTTAAATGCGCATCGTGTAACAATTTATCACAAGGCCTGATATACTGAGGACTTTTAATGATTTATATTTGTCAATTGCTTTTGATAAAAATCTGTTTAACTTTAAATAATATTTGTTGTAAACAATCCGTGTTCTTATCCTTCCTTGTTGTAAACAATCCGAGTTCTTATCCTTCCTCGTTGTAAACAATCTGAGTTCTTATCCTTCCTTAAAAAATGTTTAAATCTTTAAAAAGCTTTTTACTTTTTGAAATATTTTTATAATACTTGATTTTTTTTAATAATTTAATATAGTCTTATAATATTTGAATGAAAAACATATAATTATTTATTTATTGGAAACAATTTTGAAAAAGTTGAGTTTTACATCAATAAACAAATAACTTTTAAGTAAAATTTTAAACAAGTTAAGCTTTATATAAATAATAATAAACTAATAATTTTGCTTAATTATTGTGTATATACAATATAGTCAATATTAAAAACAATTATTTTAATTATTTTAAAGGATTTTATGGGCTTCTCTTCGCAAGAAGAACTTCAAAATGCAATCACTGAATGCAAAGTGCTTATAAAAAATACTCCTGAGCATTCTGAGAAAAGAAAGGTACTAGTGACTCAGTTAATACAACTCAGATTAAAGAAGCAAGAGCTAGAGGTATGATTAGTTGTATAAATTTTAATTTTCTGCTTTAATTGTTTTTTTTTTTAGAAAGCAACTTTTTTTAGGAACAAGCAAGCATTGAGGTTTTACCACACACAAAAAAGGTACTTGGCCATCAGTTACAAAAACAACCTCATTTATCCTTAAAAGTTGAGTGTGATGTTTGCGCTTCCATTATTTGGTTACTGTTGCAGACAGCATACATTTGTAATGGTAGAGAATATATTTTTGTTGTTAAAACATATATAAAATATTTAAAAGCAAAAATAAAAGTTTTCGCTTTTAAAACCAACCATATTATTTATCCTGTAGTTAAATTAATGCTTGTACAAGTTTATAAAATTTTGGCTATAAAATATATATCTATATATAAACTATAAAACATATATTAATTTTTTCTTATACTTTAATATATAATATAAACTTCCATTTAAAGTTTTGTGACTCATTTTATTGAATTTTATAGTTTTATCTCACTAACTGCATCTTTTTAATAATTTTTAATTTTTACCACTATTTATTTCAATCTTATTTCTACTTATTTTAAATCCAAGTTTTTCTTAGTCAACTTCTCTGTTTTCTTAGTCTGTGTTTACTCTGTGTTTACTCTTGTGTTTACTCTTATTGAAGCCCAAGTTTTCCATAGTAGATTTTCTATACTCTAAACCGATAATATTAGGAAGAATCTGTCTTCATTCTCAAACTTTTTTTCACATTTTATAAAACTTATAAAATGTGAAAAATGCTATTCTCATAAAAATTAAATACTATTTCTCATAAAAAACCTTATAAGAAATACTTGGAAAAATAATTTAAAAAAAAACAATTTGAAAAAAAAATTTAAGGTTAATAATTTTGCCTTGGAAAAGTTTATTACCCATTAATGTTATTAAAAATTTATATTTATATATATATATATATATTTTTAAATAGATCAACCCAATTGTTAAAAGAAGTATAATTAAAAAAGGATTTTAAAAATAATATTTACTTTTAAAACAATTACGATTTTGGATTTTTTTTTCAGGAAACGCATCTTCATAGAAAATACTCTTGATAATTTTCCTACAATAAAATCTAAGTTTTTCATTCTTAAAAAAAATATCATTTAAAAATCTATATTTAGTTATGCTTCTTTTAATAATATTTGATAGTCAGATATTTGATACTCAGATATTTGATATTCAGATATTTGATATTCAGATATTTGATAGTCAGATATTTGATAGTCAGATATTTGATACTCAGATATTTGATATTCAGATATTTGATATTCAGATATTTGATATTCAGATATTTGATATTCAGATATTTGATAGTCAGATATTTGATACTTTTAATACTATCTGATACTCTTCTTTTAATACTATTTGAGCAATTAATTTTTTAAAGACAAAATTACCAAGATAAATTTTTTTCTGTTTTTAACATTTCCCACTATTAAAAAAAAAATCTTTTTGCAATTTCAAAAAAAAAAGGAAAACATCCTAATACACCACCATGCACAAAACATTAGTTACTAGTAACAATAATGGTGATAATAATTATAACAATAATTAATATATATATATAAAAAAAAAAAAGAAACAAGAGTATTAAACACAAGAGTAATAATAATTTTGATAATAATAATTTTAAATTATTGTTATTGCATTTACTATTTTTATGATTATAAATTTATAATCATAAAAATAATAATATTAAAGTAATGACATAATATAATAATATATTAATATAAATAATGACATTTATAAGCAGAAAACCTTCCAGAAGTTAACCTGTTTTGCAGATAAGTATTTTTATTGTGATAGAATAGTTAAAAAGATTAATATCTAAGGTTTACAAGTTCTCCTACTCTTACCAACAATTAGGATAGGGCTTTTATATTTTCTATATAAGTTCAGGTTGTTTACAACATCAGTTTAATTTTGTGACCAGAATAATATAACTAATAATAAATGGATCGACATATTGAACCTACATAAAAAATATCTATATGTATAATATAATTACTACTGTGGATTTAGATAAACATTGTATTAGCCTTTAGACATTAATTTCTTGTAAAGTGCTATTAGTTTAGCTAAAAAGTAATGTTTTTCAAAAAAGTTTGTTTTTATTTACTTATTAATTCCTCAACAATATATGCACCATCTTTGTCTATGACCTTTTGCCAATACTTAGGCAAAGAGCGAGTACCATTAGCATAGAACTTTTTTAATTTTGAATCCAATAAGTGATTGAGGTCTGTTCAGAGTGTCTTCTTGTTGTCAAATCTTTGATTGTGCAAGTTGTTGTTTTGTGATCAGAATAAATAATAATCCGTTGACGCTAATTTAAGTGGATGGTATATATGAAGCAACATTTCCAAGCCAACTCAGATAATTTTTGCCATTGTTATTGGAGAAAGTAAACTTTTTTAAGTCAGTTTTTTTTTGTAATTTAGTTTCGCCAACTTTCGCCAATGCCAACCTCTAACATTTTTAGGTTGGCATCTTATTGCCAACCACATTTTTCTTAATTTTGAGAGCTGGTTTTGGGTAAATTTCTAAAAAACCTCATTTTTCTTAATTCCGAGAGCATTTTTTGGGTTCTATCACTGGTGCTTCCTGGTGTGGTTTGGTCATCCAGTGGTCATGCCATTTTTACATGTAGCGAAAAGAGGTTCATGCAGGTGTTAGCTGGCTAACCTAGCCGACTAGAGTTCAGTTTTTGTGGTATCCTGAGCCTTCAGGTAATTCCCATTTAGCGCAAGTGATATTCTATAGTACCATGAATACATTTAAGTTTGTTTGCTAAGCAGGGTGTAGTTAATAGCAAATTGCTTTTAAGTAACTGCTTTTAATGCTTGATGTCCAATTCTGTTGGTCTGGCAAATCTGGGTTAATCATGCATTTATAAGTCACCACTAAGAAAGCATTTTAACTAACCATTTGCTGTCCCCTTAGACAACAAACCTTGGCAGGGAAGTTAAATAAGTGCGAATTGGTATAAGTGAAAACTGGGATAATTGCAATAAAGTTACAAAAACTGACATAAGTGAATTGGCAAAAGTGTCCCACGAGAAATTGCAAACGTTGGCATAAGTGTGAACTGGAATAAGTGCAAAACAGTTTCAAAAACTAGCATAAGTGCGCCAAAAAAATATGCATAAGTGCAAACTGGCATAAGTACAAATCACTTGGAAAAGCTAGCATAATTGCAAACTGTTGTAAATGCAAATCATATATTGGCATATGTGCGTTTAAAAATATTTGCAGAAATTGACTTGAGTATGCCAAAAGAATTTGAAAACATTGGCACAGGATTCGTGCTTATGCCAATCTTTGCAAATTCTTTCAGCGCACTAATGACAATTTACATTTATGATAGGACATACAAATGCTAATTTTTGCTAATTCTTTTTGTGTGCTTATGCCAATTTACACTTATGGCAATTTTTGCAACCGCCTTCACAATTATGCCAGTTTTTGCAACTACTTTGCACTTATCCCAATGTTTGTAAATTCTTTCGCTGCACTTATGCTAACTCGCACTTATGCCTGTTTTTGCAAATGCTTTGCACTTGTGCCAATTTGCACTTATGCAAGTTCTCCACACCAGTTTGTACTTATGCATATTCCCTGTTATAAAATTCACACTTATTCAGTCTTATCCCACCTTGACCTATCAAATTTCATATTTTTTAGGTGGCTTTGCCTGCTGAGTAGCTTAAGTAAAACTTATGAAGCAGTGTTGTACATGGTCTTAGATGTTTCTTATGTTTCATGATTTAAGTTGAAATGCATTTTAATTTGTTTGTTACATGTTCTCTATATACTCACATTTTGGAATTTTCTTGAAGCATCCAGAACTTAATAGAATTTGAAAAAAAAAAAAAAAAACATTTTTTTAGCCAACCCACTAAATTCAAATCATTTTTTTTTGGGGACTTTTTTCTTTTTTACCAGCTGTTAACAAGTTTAATTTTTTATTTACCTTAATTTTGTCTTCAGATTGTGGATTTCACTGTCATAAAACATGTTTACGTAATATAGACAAGCCATGTATAAGTAATCTAAAGGTTTGTTGTTTTTACATTGTTTTTACTATATTCTTTTGTTTTTAGAAGGTACTGCATAAGATAGGAGTATTGTTTTTTTTAGCTTTCTGAAACAACATACCAAATGGAAATATGTCCTGAAAAAGGTCTTTCATCTCAAAGATATCGATGCGCTGATTGTTTGCACCGAATAGCTTTAAGTAATTTTTTAATTTTTTTGTTGTTGATAAATTTGTCTTTTTTTTTCAAATTTAATGTCACATTTTCATACAGGTTTATGATCAATTTGTAAAAGACTGAGTTGAAAACTTGACTTAATCAAAAATAGATAATAGAAAAGAATAGATAATAGAAAAGAATAGAATAAAAAAAAAAATAGATAAAAAAAAAAAATAGATAATAGAAAAGAATAGAATAAAAAAAAGAATAGATAATAGAATAAAAAAAAGAGTAGATAATAGAAAAGATTTTTTATAAGTAATTTTGTTGGTGTCAGTGTTTTATATTTATATTGCGACCAATCTTGTTTCACATTCCTTAATATCTATATACAATATCTATTCCTTAGTATCTATGTACAGTATCTATTCCTTAGTGTCTATGTACAGTATCTATTCCTTAGTATCTATGTACAGTAGCATCCAAAAGTAATTGGACAAATAGCTTTTTTGTTATATTTTCTTATAAAATTTAATTTTTTTAATGAAATTTTTTATATGTCAATTTATATGATGAAAAAAAAAAGTTTCACATTTTTGAATAATTTTTATTAAATAAATGGAAATTATTGGCTCAAAAGTAATAGGAAAAACTAAATATGTAAAAATAAAATTGTTTGAACATTTTCATTATTTTTTATGATGATTTCTGTGACATAATATGATACATAATGTTTATAATCTAGACATAATTTTTTTACTTGGTTAAAAACCTTTTGCCGCAATTGCATCTGTGTGCCTTTGAATCAATAAAATTAATTAAAATATTAATTAGTACTTTCTCCTAAATGCATTTAATCAATCCTGTTGATTAGTTGGCTTGCAATTGCTAATTTTTCACTCAATATGCTCCCAAAGATGTCTAATTAAGTTTAAATTTGAAAATTGTGATGGCCATTCCAAGACTCAAAATATTTTTTAAGTAAAAGGCGTGTTTTGGAATTGTCTAATAATGCAACATTTTGATCTTTGCATGTGACAGTATTTTATTCTTGGTTATTCCTTTATACATGTTGTTATCCATTTGGCTTGAACTTGATAGATTTAACCTACTCCAGTATTTTCAACCATTGCAGTACTGTCCGAATAAATGTGCAATAGTGAATTTCAGCAGCATTCTATGATTTTTTGCAGAAACAAATAGTTTTTTAATGGGGAAAAAACAGCAAAAAAAATTGTTTTGTCTTAAGTGGGGTTTTACTGGTGCATAATAATAGGAAATGTTGCATAATAATAGAAAGTGTTGCATAAGAATAAGAAGTGTTGCATAAGAATAGGAAATTTGATGAATGATGCATAAGATAGGAAAGTGACTGTAAATTCTCTACAAATTTCTTTGGCACTCTAACGCAAATCTTTGACGATCTCATTACAACATTATCTTGGTGAAAAGTTGTTGATTTTAGCTGTTCTGACTTTGCGGTTACTTGGAAATGATTTCTTTCTTGAAAAAATTTCAATGTGTAGCTATTGATCATGGTATCGTGGATCATCTATTGATTTAAGAATGTTTATTTCCATTGAAAATTGTCAGTTTTATTGTTATTAGGGATGGCAAAAATCCCGGAAATTTTCAATCCCTGATTTTGGGATTGAGAAATTTGTTTGAAAATTGAATAGAAAAAAACGCAAATGCAACTGAATACTTTTTAAGCACTTATCAAACACTTAAAAATGGTTAATTTAATGATAATTTATAAGTATTATATAAAACAATACCTTAAAATGGTAACAGTTTAAATAAAAATTAAAAAATAATATAAATATGTATGACATTAAAAAAATCTTTCATAAATCACACATTTGAAAATTAAAATGAATGGATATAAAACTGGAAATAAAATCGCGCATACTTTTGGAAGCAGAAAATTCAAAATAAAATTAATGTATACCTTCTATTAAAAACTCTTGCTCTTTTTACCAGCAAGTAAGATCAAGAGTTTTTAATAAAAGTTATACATTAATTTTATTTTATTATATATTTTTAATTTTAATTTTACGTATATATATATATATATATATATATATATATATATATATATAAACATATATACATTTTGCAGACAAGCAATAATGTTTTGAGTTTTTTTTTTTAGTAAAATACAGTTTTAAAAGTGAGAGTTTTAAAAGGAAAACATTGCAAAGATAATAATGAACATTTTTTACAAAATCCCGGGATTTGGGGATC